CCTCCCTTCCTTCCTTCCTTCCTTCCTTCCTTCCTTCCTTCCTTCCTTTTCTTTCTTTCCACGTATCTGTTCAAATTTCCCAGCAGCATTTATTGAATTGACTATCTTTACTCCATTGTATGTTCTTGCCTCCTTTGTCATATAGTAATTTGCCAAATAGTGTGGGTTTATTTCTGGGCTCTCTCTTTTGTTCCATTGTCTATTTTTATGCCATCCCCATGCTGTTTTCATTATTATAGCCTTGTAGTATAGTTTGATATCAAGTAGCCAGATTGATTTTTAATTTATCCATATATATATTAGCTATTCTTTTTTGTAACTTGTTAGCTTTTAGCTACTTTTTAAAAAAATATATTTTTAAATTGATTTCAGAGAGGATGGGAGAGGGAGAGAGAGATAGAAACATAAATGATGAGAGAGAATCATTGATCGGCTGCCTCCTGCATGCCCCCTACTGGGGATCAAGCCCGAAACCCAGGCATGTTCTCTTGACTGGTACCGAACCCGGGACCCCCTCAGTCTGCAGGTCGATGTTCTTTCCACTGAGCCAAACCAGCTAGGGCATCATATTTCTTATTCTCACCCCCTTTCTTGTTTTTCTGTTAGTTGGTTTTATTCTGATTGATTTGCAAAAGCTCTTTGTTATATAAGATATGTCAACTCTTTGCCCATGTGTGGTACAAATGTTTATTACCAGTGAATATGATTTGTACGACTGTTACATTTTAGGATTTATTGAGGTTTTGTGGCTTTTTTATAGTAGTTTTAAAAAATTAATGTTGCACAGATATATATAAAGTACACACGTATATGCCGAAACCGGTTTGGCTCAGTGGATAGAGCGTCAGCCTGCGGACTGAGAGGTCCCGGGTTCGATTCCGGTCAAGGGCATGTACCTGGGTTGTGGGCACATTCCCGGTGGAGGATGTGCAAGAGGCAGCTGATCTATGTTTCTCTCTCATCGATGTTTCTAACTCTCTCTATCTCTCTCCCTTCCTCTCTGTGAAAAATCAATAAAATATATTAAAAAAAAATAAAGTACACACGTATAATCACAATATATAACATGCACATATGCAAATACATCCATATACAAGATTGTATTAATTATATTAATAAGATATATTTATATCATAATTTTTGATGGATCAAATTGATTTTCCAATGACTAAGAGCAGTGATTTTACCCTTTTTCATGATAATGAGTGTTGTCCTTGATCCTTTTTGCCTTGAATTTGATCTTGTCAAATGTTAATGTTGTGATCCACATGTTTTGGGATTGGTGGGTTGGTATAGGTTTTATCTTTAAATTTTTCTTTGTCTCGTTAATTTTGAGTTCTTCATTTCTTTCTCCCTCTTCCCACTTTTGATGTAGAAATAAAGAACAAATAATATGGTTAAATCACCTGAGAGGTATCAGAGGAGGAGGAAGTGAGCTGGACCTGAGTTCTTGAAGTATAAATAGAATATAAATGGGTAGAAATGTGTGGGTCTCCAGACAAGAGGGATGTATTAAAAAATAAATGAGGATAGAATGGATTATGAAGTATGTTTGGAATGTGAAAAGGAAGACTTTGGAGCAGAAAGTCTGAAGAAATAGGAAGTGGCTTAATGAGGCAGGACCATATTGGAGGATTCTGAAAGCTAGGCAGAGAAATAATTCTTCATTTATAAATCAGCTGTTTTTAATGCAAATAATAGGATAAGTACACATACAAAATAAGCTCACTGTACAGGATCATCTTTCATGCCCTTATGTTGATCTTACATGTTCATTTTCCTTTATTCTGAGAGTTCACTGTACCATGATTCATATTAACTAATCTAAGACACATTTTTTGAGTTTCGTCTTACATTTGACATTCTAAGCAGGCGATTTTTGGCATGATGATAGAGGTTCATAACCTCACCTCAGAGAGAGATTTTAAGTTTCATATTGTGGATCAGGCTAGACTTCTTTCCTTCAGTCCTATTTTTCTCCTTCCTTTTCTGCTGTGCCCACCCCCCAAATCATAAATATTAGTTTCCTTGCTTGCCTTAAGCAGATGAAATATGCTAAATATGGGTCGATGGCCTGAACTGTTTTGTTGTCTCTGAAGGAACATGTAGATGGTGGCTTACTGAGAGCTGAATGGAGCAGTAAGTGCAGGTTCTAACAATATTTCACGTGCGCACCATGCACAGGTCACCGTGCAATGACGTGGAAGCCAGAGCCTTCCGTTGTGCCACTGAGATCAGGATGGTTGGCTCTTCAGAAGTGGAGATGTTTAATACATCCCTCCTGCCAGGGGAGTTTAGAGAACTGAGTGTTTTTCTTGGGCTTTTCCATAAAGTTGTGTGTTTTTTATATTTCTAGGGGACTCCTTCTCACAGTTCCGGTTTGCTGAGGAGAAAGACTGGGATGGTGAAGCTTCATGTCCAAAGCAGGTAAGATGGTTTGTGTTGAATGTGGTGGGCTGGCTCTTTTCAAGACCGGAAACTAACACCTCTGTTAGTGTTGAGCTAGAGTCTTTAAGTAGGAAAAACTTTAGTAATTCATGTACAGTTTAGTCTCAGTTACCTCAGTTGCTCAGAAAAATTTCAGGGAGCTTACATTTTGCAGGTCCTTGGAGCTAGAGTTCACCTTTATACTTGCCCATCTGTGTGGCTTGTTCACAGACTAGGCTGAAAAGGAGAAAGCTGAGAGTCATGATTTTTAGCGGACTACTTTGCCATTTGGGCTTTCTTCTTTTCCATTTATGAAAATTCCTCTGAGGGTTGAAAATTAATTCCCCCCCACATTGTTTTTGGTGTTGAGAAAAATCTTTTACTTTATAGCTTTAAATAACTCTTCTTCCAGAATTAGGTGAATAAAGCTATAAAATAAAAACAGATATCATGTATGTCTTTCAGCAAATCCATAAAGCCCAAATATTTTATTTGCTTTGTGTTCAAGCTATGTTTTCTTTCTTAGGAATTTGGTTATTTTTTCATGCACGATTTCACTGATTTTTTCATATGAAAGATAACAGATATTTTCACGCCTTTAAAATGCACAGAGGATTGTTGGTGGCTTGTCATGTACTCTGATTAGACCCCCAGTGATTAGAAAGTCTGTCCACAGCCTCAGACAGGTGGCTGAGCAGCAGACCCAAAGCCCAGAGGTAAGGCACCCCCCTCCCCATTCTGCTACCAGCTCAGCACACACACTGTAGGCCACTCATTTTATGTCTGGGCTGCTGTTGTATTTAGTTTGGGATGGACATTGTCTTATACAAATTGAGGAGATGGAAGTTACTGTAAAAGTACTGCCTGTCACTTTGCAAAGAGTATGTATTATACAAAAAGTTGGGAATTAAAAATATTTGTATTTGTTTCAGCCTTGTTGGGCATATACCTGAGAAACAGTTTAGAGTTCTAGGACAAGTTGAAATCACAAACTAAGGTCATTGACGAATATGGTGAAAACCAAACAACTCACGTTTCGACTCCTTTTGTGTGTTTTTTAAAAATTGATTTTGAGAGAGAGAAAAAGGAGGGAAGGAGGAAGGGAGGGAGGTGGAGAGAGAGATGCGAGAGAGAAACATGGATCGGTTGCTTCCTGCATGTGTCCTGACTGGGGATTGAAGTCACAACCTAGGGACTAGTATGTGCCCTGACCAGGAATCGACCTTGTGGTGCATGGGACGATGCTCCAACCAACTGAGCCAACATGTTAGGTCCCCAGAGGACATCCTTACAGGAGAGGGACCCAGCGCCCTCCCGCTGACTTGCCTTCGTTTCTTTGTGGCTCAGGGGCAGGCTGACAGAGACTGTAGCCTGGCAGCAGGGTCGGTGCTTAGCTGTGCTGGCTCCGTCACTATAGGGAGTGTCCTCTTAGGTCCATGAGTGGGATTTTCATGTCTTTCCTATGGACAGTGCGGGGCATGTGTGGAGGGAAAGGGCGGGAGGAGAACTTCTTCGGGTGAAAATATAGATGCTTTTTAAAATCACTTTTTTTCCTATTCTGTCTTTTATTTTTGTTGACATAATGACTTGTTTTTTCAGCAGAGCTTCCCTGAGCGAGTGTTGAGTGCTGGCTGGGCCAGAGGCAGTGGTTCCTGAGCCTGGCTTCTAGAGGTGTAGGCCCCCAGGTCCACCCTCCCGACTCTGGTTCTGAGCGAGGCTGAGAATGTGTGTCTGGAAAGCTTCCCAGACTGGGGTCCCTGAGTCCCACACGAATGTGGCCAGTGCTTCAGCTCCTGAGGAATGTGGGCTGGGCTGAGGAAAGGCTATGGTGACTGCTCTCGGAAAGAAAGAAGAAGAGCAGAACTAAAGGAAAGCAATTTTGGACTTTTTTTAAAAGCTGCAAAGTGGAGTTTCTAGCAGGTTCTTTTCTCACCAAGTACTGTACCTTTACACAGACTCAGAGACTTGAAGCATAATGAGGTTCCTGGACAGAGAGGAGCTGAAGAATTAGATTCTCACTCCCCAGACAGACTTCTGTGCACACTGAGGGCAGAGGGCGGGGGTGGGGGTGGTTGTCTGAGTCGGGCTGCTCCCCTCTGCCAGCGAGGATTGTGCAGGAGAGAAGACACCAGGGTGTCCCATTGCAGACCAGGCTGTGACTCCAGCTGCGAGTGACCATCAGAGTTGGCCAAGTGGGTATGGGACTGCGCTCTCCAGGCAAAAAGACCTGTGAATTATTTTAAACCTAATTCATGGTTATTATTCCAATTAACCTATTTTAAAGTTCATGCTTTACACAATTTATTTCATCCCACTTTATATCTAAGGCTGTCAGCTTTAGCCCTTTGTGGGGGAAAGTGTTACAGTGCCATTTGATGGCAGGCTCCTGGCTCCGGGACTCCTGCAAGGAGACGAGGAGCAATCACCATGGTGGCTTGCAGTGTCTTGACGGCATCATGGAGGTGGGACAGTGTCAGCTGGGCCTCGGGTGATGGTGGGAATTAGAAATGTGGGGGAAGGAGACATTCCATTAGCAAACACAGCCAAATGCCCAACATTGAGTGCAGCTCACAAGCACAGCGGGCCGTCCCCGTATCTCTGTGAGGTCGGCTCACAGCTCCTCACTGTTTATGATGCACCTCACAGTCATGTTGCACACGATGCAAATGAGGGCAGAGGAAGTTTGGATACTTTTAGCCAGACCCCAGCACGTCTCAGTAGTTCTCCAGAGAGCTGAGAGCACAGGTCGCGGAGGGCAAGTTCTCGCTCTGCAGGCTGAATGAAGGGGGTGCACCTGCGTGACTTTGCAGACCCCTTGGCTGTGGGGAGGGTGAGATTTCCAGGTTGTGATTTGCTGACTGACCCAGGTGTTAAGCATTCAGGATCACATCTTACTAGTGGGTTGAGAGAGTTTCTCCAAACTGGAAAACACGAGCTTGGCCATGCTGGGTGTGTCAGAGCAGGTGGGTGCTGAGTTCAGGGCTGAGGAAGGGCTGACACCTACTGAGTTTCTCATTTTCTCATCAGGGCTTCCTTATCTCCGTCCTGTTCCCGAAATACTTTTTTTTAGATGTAAATGTAAGTTCCTTTTTCCCAGGACTAGGGCCACAATTGGTGCCGCCAGCTTTGCTTCCCTAAGAGCCAGCCATTCTCGGAAAATATCAGCAGGGTGTTGAAAAGCCACCTTGTTTCTTTTGATCCGTGTGCCGTGGTGGGGATTAGGGTTAGAGTGGGTCTGGGTTTCATTTCGGGGCCCTTCTTGAGCACAGCAGGAATGACAGACTGTCTCCATCATAAACTCCTCTGCCCGAGACATTCCTGCTGTGTGGGATCGGTGAGACTGGATAGAGCAGCACTGGATTTTCTCTAACTTGGAGTCAGTGATGATAGAATAAGACGTCGTTCCAGCTGGGCCTGTGCTGTCCTTGGTAGAGGAGGTGGTCAGTGATGTTTGCCTCTAATGTGAGGTCACTGTAACCACCTTCTAGTTTGTCCTTCTCTTGGCTGCCAGGGCTCCGAGAGCAGCTGCTATACTATTGGTAAGCCAGGTGACAATCTGAAATGCTTGTACAAATGCCTCAGTTTTGGAGGTCACTGTATGGGTATGAATGGGAAGGGAGTCAAAGGGAGCTTTTAGTGTTGGCCATACACAGCGTGCTGCCGGCTAGAGGGTGAGTTTCCATCCTCTGCTTTCCTGTTAGCAGGTACCTCATGGGCTCCTTCAGCCTTCGGCCGTGCCTCTCAACCCATCTCACTGCCTAGACAGCTCTTCCCCCTCTCCTGAGGGTCAGCACCTGCATTTGAAGGTCCACTCAGATTCCACAGAATGCTTATTTTTCTGTTGGCCAGTAAGTCCAAGAGTGTCCAGTTTCCAGGTTATCGTGTGTTCCTGACGGTGGGGTGCGCACTTTCCGCTGCTGCTCGGGCGGCACGAGCTGTGGCTCAGGAAGGTGGTGTTTGGTTCTGCTCATCTTAATGCGGAGATAATAGACATAACCATATCAAGTGTGTCTTCTGCTCTTTCATTTCTAGAAGGTCACATGTAATCATCACCAGGAATACATATGTATATGTGTGATCTATGTATCTTTCTTATTTATTTATAGAATTCAGCATTTTATGTGGACTGTGAGTCATTGGTTCAAGCCCTTCAAGAACTGCCTCTCTCTCTCCGACTCAATGTTGCTGCTGAATTGATCCAGGTAAAAACCCTGATGGCATCTTCGAGCTGGTGTGGGTTAGGGCAGGAGAAGAAAGAATGAAAAATAACCCCTGGATGTCTCAGGCTCAGCTCTTCCTTTCATGAAGCTGAGGGTTTTGTATCAGGTAGCACTTTGTAAAGTTTTAAGGGAGAATGAGTTAATTTTTTTAAGTTTTTTGTTTGTTTGTTTACATTTTAAAGAATCAGATGTAATAGAGTTGAATGAAATGTAAAAGTATAAAGTCTGGCTGGCACAATATTTATGTTGGGTACTAAGGATGCAGTGGTTGAGCAGACAGACATGGTTCCTGCCCTTGTGGGGCTTAATCTATTGGGAAAGGTGGGTATTAAACAGATTATCACACAAATGTACAAATTGTGATAACTGCTAAGAAGGGTTAGCACAGTGTGCTGTGGGATTATATAACAGGGAACCTGATCTACTCTGCTGTGACTAGGAATGGATTTTCTGAGGAAGGGACAGATAAGCTGAGACCCAGAGTAGAAGGCCATTTGAGTTGGAATTTAGAGAAGGATCTGCATTAACAGCACTGCTTCTGCTGACACTAGCAAGAGCATGCTGGCTGTGGATGGCAAGGGGGCTACAGGAGTGGGGTGGGGGTGTTTATTGGTTAATCCGTACTTACAAGAGCAGAGGAAACGAGGGGAGGCAAGTTAGGAGGCTGTCGCATGGGTCCAGGCGAATAATGCTGTAGCTTGGAAAGGGTGATGATGGTAGAGGTGGCACGGAATTGGAGTTTTCTAAGAGTTACTTCAAAAGAAAAATTAAGAGGACATGGGGAGAATTATCCTAGGTTTTTTCCAGCTTGTGCAACACTGCTAGGTGGGACCAGGAGGTGAGGTTGTGATATTAGGGGTTTGTGCCTCTGAGATTTCAAAGTGAAAATAGAAGTCAAATAGAGAAATTTATAGTCTAGAATTAAGGGCTGGAAATAGAAATTGGGGAGGTATCCCTGTAAGGTGGTGATTGAAAGGAAAAGCCCAAGTACTGTATATAAGGAGCTTCAGAATTTAATTGTGGCTCGTTTGACTTTTTTAAAAAGTGAAATTTTGGGCAGTCCCATCCTCCTCGTTTGACTTTTTTAAAAAGTGAAATTTTGGGCAGTACTAATGTTAAATAGAATCTCAGCAGCCAAAATGATTAATTTGGCTCTTCAGTTGAATGTAATGCTGTTTCTATTGCACTTACTAGTCCCACATTTAGGGCAGCAAGTACAATTCAGGGCTGGAGGAGAGGTAGGGGCAAAGAAGTAGAGGGGATTTCACTAGCCTCTGATGGGAGTCACTGTTTTTTAGGAATGTGGGGTGCATTTGGGGTTGTGATTGGGAGAGGCTGGGTGTCCCGGTGTTCAGGGTTCTGATATGTTTAGTTTGGTCCCGATGAGGAATGGTTAACGGAACACACAGGGAACCACTGAGATGAAGGGACTCAGAAGAGAAACAGGAAGTGTTGTGAGCATTTGAAAGTGAAGGATGTGTTGGTGGTAGGCCTTAGACTAAAGGTAAATAATAACTGCAGTAACTTGGAAAACCAGGCTACCTTGTTTTAACCCCCCGCCCCGCTTTCTGTGCCACGATGCACAGCAGTTATTCTCAACTGTGTTTCTACATCGGAAACCCCCAGGGAGGGAATAAACAAAACCAATTCCAGATGCCCAATTCCAGACACCCGGAAACAAAACCCCTGGACTGGAGTAGAGGACCACACCCCGGCTTCGTCCTGCACACTGACAATATGAACATTTACGTTTGTGCGTGTAGTCATCCTGTCGTAGAAGCCTGAAGAGTTGTTAGCAAATTGGATCTGCTCAGGGTGCTTACGTGTCCAAATAGGAGATGGTGCTGCCAATAGTGGCTGACCTTCATTCTGAACCTATCCACTCCTATGCCCTGCTGGTCACACAGGCCTCCTGCAGGACAGTGTTCTCAGCCTAGCTCTGCATTGCAACCACCTGGATATTTTTACCTTTTATTAAATTATAACAGAGACAGAAAAGTGCATGCAAAGGTGGTAGTTACCATGGACTTGGCATCCAAATCAAGAATCAGAATGTTGCCGGCGCTGCTGAAGCCACTGTTTCCCCACTGCTCTGAGCCAGTTTCCCTAAAACCACTGTCCTGACTGCTAATATTAAAGATCAGTTTTGCCTGCTTTTGACTTTTTACAAATGTAATCAAATAGTATGTTTTTCTTTCATGTCTGGCATTTTTTTACTCAATACAGAGTCAGTCTTTATTTTCTTCTCAGTGAATTTACCTCTTCACCTTTAATTAGTGCTTTCAAGTACATTGAACAGATCTGATTTGCTAGTTACTTCTTGGTCCTTTTACAGAGTTTAAATTTAACTCTCATCACAGACTCAGTGTACCTTCAGTAGCCCTGTGGTACTATCATTTTTCAGTCCTGATATCGAAGACATGGCCCTTTTGATTTCAACTCCGACTCAGCACAGAGCTGAGTGGTGGTGGGGGGGTGGGGGTGCAGGCCTGTTATGTTTCAGTGAGGTCGCCCGCATGCATTTACCCCATGTCAGAAAGGAGGGTACTGTGACGGGCCCCCACCAGAGACCCTCTGTGAACTTCCTGTCTGAATTGTTTCTTGTTCCGATTCTAAGGCAGTTTGATGGCTTCCTTAGCTTCTGTTTCTGCTTGAGCAAATGGTACAGAACTCACATTTTCAACTCAGTTATTATGTTATTATGCTTCTCTTTCAGACTGCCCTTCCTTTAGAGCTTCCTCAGGTGAAACCAAAGAGAAACGATGAAGGCAAGGGACTAGGCATGCAGTTAAGAGGGCCCCTGGGGCCTGGAGGAAAGGGGTCCGTGTCTGAGCTGAAATCAGCACCTGCTGGCTGCCCCGGGTCCCTGGGTAAAGCTAGCCCAAGACCAGGCCCCTCAGAGGGCTCCCAGAATCCCGCTTCCCCACTGCAGTCAGCAGCGGACCATCTGGAAGAAGAATTGGATCTGCTGCTTAATTTAGATGCGCCTGCAAAAGCTGGAGCGAACATCTTACCAGACCAGATGCCCCAGGACCTAGAATCTGAGAAAGATGGGGCAGTGGAGGCCCAAGAAGAAAAAGGTACGGTTTTCATTTTCTTCCCTCTCCATCTTCTTGGTTCTGTGCTTTTATGAGAACAGCCTCACCCGTGTCACATCCGCACACATCTCCATTGGTGCCTGACATCAATCTGGCGTCGTCCACTGACAACTATTTCTGTGCTCACATCTCCGCTTCCCCAGAGCTGACCTTTCTGACAACATTCCTCTCACTAGATATGCGGCTCCCAGAGCTGCTACCTGCCTGATCTCAGTGTTAAATCTGAGGCTGCGAATTGAACGTGAGCTATAAACTGGCCTTGAGATATTTGTAGCCCTCAGCTGTGCGGCAGCGGACCTTTTAATCAACTGTCTGAATAGCCCAGTTAACCAGCTCTTCCTTCGTTTTACTGTTTTGATCTTGTTTTTTACAAGAGAACAACACTTTCTTGTTTGTGTGTGTTCCGTGAGGCAGTGGCCCATCTGATGCGGAGAGGCCCAAGGCAAGGCCCCAGCATATCCTGTGTTCAAGAGCCTTAATACTTTCCAGGATTGCTACAATAGCACACAGAAAACGGAGCATTGGTCTTTTTAATAAACTAGTGAACTGTGAAATTCAACTTGAGAATAAATAGAGGGGCACATTTCTACTCTATTAATTTGTTTAGATATTATTGTATCTTCTTAGGGAGTAGGGACAACAATAGAATGTTTCCCCTTGCTGTAAGCAAAGTAATAATTGTGGCTGAATTATATCATGGAACAGCGCCCAGGGAAGCTGTCACCCTCCGTTTTGGGACTAACGTGAAGTTGTTAACATTGCCTTTATTTCCCTAGTTCCTGCAAAACCATCCGTGGCGGAAGAAAAGACGGTGGAACCTGAGCAACCAAGCACATCCAAAAATGTTACCGAGGAAGAGCTTGAAGACTGGTTGGACAGTATGATTTCCTAACAAAAAAAGAGAAAGAAACAGAAAAAGAGAAAGAAAAAAGTGCCCGACACCAGTTTGGGTTGCCCTGTAAGGCCGGGCCCATGGCTGTCCGTGAGAGCCTGCCCCGCGCCAGTGTGTTCCATCAGCTCACACAGTGCACACCTACCTCTGTGTCTGACAACAGCCACAATAATACATTTACGAGGCTCGGGGCATTTTTCTCTGACTTAGTCATCTCAGACTCAGGAAGGGCGGAGACGTGGCGCTTGTTTCCAGCACAGCAAAGTGCTGCTGCTGAAGAGAGCAAGCAACAGGGTATGTGTTTGGCCAAATAAACCAGTGCTGGTCTGTGGAGTGTTTTTCCTTTTTGTGAAGGGGTTAGGCTGTTTGTCTCATGTCCCTTTCCCAGCAGCCACAGTGTGGTTGTAGAATCATCCAGAGGTGGTGCATTACAAGAGGCCGAACCACGGGTTGGCACGTATCACTTTATTGCAGTGGGCACTTCATTTTACTTAAGATTCACCTAAACATAGCGGCACCACTACTTACGAGGGACCATAAAGCATTACTCAATTTGGCATAAGATTGAGATTTTTCTGAGTTTTCAGTACAGTACTTTTCTTCTAATAACAGCAATCGACAAGCTGTTACTGAGAAAAAAAATTATATGCATAACCTTCAAGTGCAGTTTCTTAAAGTAAGACAGAAGATCAACACAATTATTTAATGGGACTGTCCATCTGGAACATAAACATAAAAAACTTGCATAGCTATATCTAAAGAGGTTTTAAGGCACTTAATCGATATTTCATTGTCGACAAAGTGTTTTTCCGGTTTCTATTTCTTTAACTGGTTAAAGCTTTTCAAGCTGATTCTGGGTACATTCACTAGTAAGTACCATGGGAAAAATTAGACTTCAGTTAAAATGATTTTTTGTAGTTCAGACCATGAGTCACTCGTGGATATTGTCATGTGGCATTCAAGTGTTCAAAATTTCATGTATTATGCATCCAAGACTTCATACTTCTAGTCCCTTTCTCAATGCTGCCATCCTGACAAACACGTTACATTAGATCTGAAAATCTTGAAGGCATTCAACTAGAGTCCTTGATTTAACATTTTGAAAGGTTATCTCCCACAGGGTTTGTCCATTAGGCACAAAGAGTCCAATCAATTCCAAAATATCACAGAGATTTTTTTTTTTGGTGGCTTCTTTTTGGGGTTGTTTTTACACAGATTTTTTAACAAACAATTTCTTGTTGTAAGGGAGGCATTTAGAAAATGTCACCTTTCAAAAATGTTGCATATGAAGTGTACAAGAGGATGTTAATTTCACTTTAAGTTGACAGTCCAGACTCGAGGAGTTTCTTTCATTCAGGCTTATCCAAGCTGATCCTCATATTGTTTCCGAAAGCAGTCACCAGCTGGGAAGAAATCCCAACACCTTTCTTGGTACATCTTCCAGACATACGATTCCTGAAATAATCGGGGGGAAAAGGTACTTCTTTTTAAACCACAGTAAGCTAAAGCTCGAAAACTCTGTTTTTGCTCTATTTCTCTCCCTTTAGGAATATTGATGTGGATTTATATGAGGCTCAACTGGCGCATTCATTCTTGTTGTATTCACAGCCCATTTTGACAGCAAGAGGTTTCTTCCCACTTCCTCCTCCCGAACACAGAAACCAACTCAGTGATTGACATAAAAATACTTAAAAGATTAGCAGTAGGCTGATTCCATGTAATTTGTAATTGGTAGAAGAACGTACGATGGGGACCATGGAGGGCTGGCTTAGGTAGATTAAAGCCATCTCCGGAAACCAGCTGCCCTCTCGTAAATGTTCGAGCTGTGAAGAATTCCTACAAACTCAGTGATGTTTGAAAACTTGATAACCTGCCTCTTCTGCCTGTGTTCTCTGTCTTTACATGTCATAATCATAAAATCCCTTTGACACCTTCATTCATACTCTCACACCCACCCCTCCCCCTCCCCCACTCAAGATTATCTTTCTATGCCGTCCTCACAGCATTTGCCTCTGCTCCCCCTGTTCTTTGTGCTCACCACCCACTCAGCTCCTCATTGTCTTTTGCTCTGTAATGCTCTCAACCTCCAGCTCCTTAACTCTGAAGGGTGTGGAAAATGTCAGTATCTGTTGGAAGGATAACCAGGACTCTTTTGGAATAGAATGGAATTGCTTTAGAATTCTGGCTTCTTAAGTCACAAAGGATGGTGGAGTGATGCAGAAAGCAGTGGGGAACGGCATGGAGGCCGATGGGATCACCTGTCTCCTCCAAATAGCCTGTGCTCAGCCGATTCTTGACACTTAGGCAAAGGAAGTGCTGCTGTGGGGGTGTGATGCTTAATTAGACTTTTCCCCTCACCTGACCCGTGTGCTCTGTTTCATCTTTGTTAATCAAATACATCAGGAAGAACCTGGAACAAGGAAAAAAGGTTTAATAAATGAGGAAAAGACAATATTAGATACTTCCGTTAGGAAGCCTAGTTTCATTTACTTAATTAAAGGAACCAGAGGAGGGGTTCAAATATGCTTTTTAGTATCATGCTGTCCACTAGGCCTTTCCGAATTGGGCAAATGTGGCATAGACACAAACCATCATTTTCTGATGATCATGTTAAAATTAGCCTTTTCATGAGAAGAGATCCCTTTTTACCATCCCCAGAGCTTAAGCTAAGATCCCTTGTGAGGAAGCATTTTCGCTACCAGCTACCATTTTATTGTTTAAAAATATCCTAATCCAAACAATGAAATGGTATCCCAAACTCTTCCTGCATAATTTTCAGTACACCTATTCATCGTGACATAAAAATGTAGAATTAAAATTATATGGTGTCTCAAGGATACGGGATTTTTGGAAAGTACTTAAGTTGCCCCGATTCTTTCAGAAATACAGTTTTGTTTTTGTTATAGACAACAGCAATGCCAAGGTGGTTTCACTTGCTCAACTGTGAGTGTCTGAGGTTTGAGTCTGTTTGTCTGGAACACACAAGCATCCCGGGAGGCCGGGCGCTCAGCTCGCATTACACGGCCTCAGAGACAGCTGCCAGAGGAGCCGGTCTCGTGCCCTTCAGGAAAAGGACTGAGCTCTCGGTGAGAAAGAGAAAGTAGAAATAACTCTCTTCGGAGGGGGCGGGGGAGGGGGAGGAGAGCTGAGCCCAGATTTTGAGTTCTCTCAGGGTCCCCTGAGTTTATAGCTTCAGATTGTGGCCCACAGTAGAGGCTGTAAACATATATTAGTTTCCTTCTTTTTCGTTTATCACACGAAGAAACAAGGCATGGCCAGTATCTGACCTTGTTGGAGACTTAGGCACATTTATTTGAGAAAGCACCATTTGGGGGTGTGTGTGGAATTTAAACATGAATAAGATGGGTTCTTTCCCTTCAAGCTCTCTGCTAGAGAGGCAAAGAGAGAGAAATAGACTATTCTAATATAGAAGGCTAGCGAAAGACGTAGAAGGGGTCCCAACCCAGCTACCATAATGCTCTTCCTCTCTTCTCTATTCATCGGTCCTGACATGTGGCCGTGTGCTCACCTTTCATAGAAGGACATCCACTGGACCCCCTTCAATAAGATGCAAACTCTCTTAATGAGAACACACAAGGATGACTACCCAGACTTGAGGGAAGGTATGCCAAAGTTAATGTTTAAAAATTTGTGTTTTTGTCTTAAGAAATTCTTAAACTGTTGTCTCTTTGACAATAACATCTTTCCCAAAGGCTATGCCTGTTCCATCTTAAAGAAAGTTGAGGATTTCCTAAATACAATGTGGACTCAGGGGAAGGGGTAGGCCAGGGAGCCAAGCCCAGCAGTGTTTTTTTGTTTGTTTTTTTTCTTACAAATGATCACTTAGAGAATCTGAATTATCAGGAAATCTGTATTCTCTATAAATTCTGTAAGTTCTAAGTTTCACAGGCAGTTCACAGAACATAATAGGCTCTGAATCACTTGTTCTGGAGTGAATGCTTTACCTCATGTGTTGGGATAGAGCAGTGTGAAAACGTCCCCAAACCTCATGGAGCCCAAGTGTCACCAGGAGAGGAGGACACGGTGAGGACTGAAAACTCACTACAGAATCCAGCACCATGTGGACCCGTGGCCACCTTGACAAGAGCAAATGTGAGGGGTGGTGGGAGAGGAAGAAGCAGGGCAATGGCTGTAAGTAAAAATGCAGCCACAGACTTTTGTCTTTGTCTAGGATTTTAAAAGGTTGTATTGGGATAGGAAAATTCCAGCAAAGGAAAAACATTGCTGGAGTTATGTGACCTTGAGATGGGTTGCGGGACTGACCTTCGCTCAGAGCAGGAACAGCCCACAACACATATCTATGAAACGTGGGAGGCAGGTTGCATGGGCCTTCTTGCCTAATTGCCACTATTTCTCAGAGAAACAGGAGGAAATGGCATCAGCAGAGACTGAACTAACTGACTGTTGGTGTTATTCTACCACTTCTCCCCCGCCCCTGTCACCCCTATCGACCAAGAGTACTCACAAGTAGTTGGCTAAGTTGTGCTCTTGTAATGTGTGTGTTTCAAAACCATGAGGGGTTGTGTCAAAGTAGTCATTGCCAATCCCACAGATGAAACATTTAGTCTAGAAAAATAACAGAGGCAGTAAAGGTATTAGTAGGCGTGACATTACAGGCAGGTGGAAAAAGGGCGATATCTGCTTGAATTGAGACACACTGAAAACTATTTCTCTCTCAAATGCTTCAGGCACTTAGTCATCCACTCCCTAGCGAGCTGGGGGTACTTGCTCCTGCCCCAAGCATGGGGCATGGTGAAGGCAGCAGGCGGAGGGGATGGGATAGTGTAGAACACAGAGGGTGGAGCACGAAATGCCCAGAGCTGGTAGGTAGGCACTGAGAAGAGGACAGGAATGGAAACAGGTTGCATTGGTAATTCTGCTGTGAGATACAGAGCTAGAGTTGGAATGAGTGCTTAGAAGAACATTACCTCCATATCTTCGCGTACTTGTTCCTGCTGGTCTCTCAACTCTCCAAAGGCATCAATAATAAGACCTGGGATTTTAAATATAAAGACAGATAAAGTGTTTTAAATAATCTATTCAGAGTAAGGAATGATAGAGGGAATGGCACAGGCCACTTTGTTTTGTAAAGTAAATCATCAAGCTTATTCAGAGAAAACATACTCAGAAAAAAACAGTGCTTGTTTTTAAATGCTGCATCCTGGTGAAACATTCTTCCTCTAACCCAGCCGTGGGCAAACTACAGCCCGCGGGCCGGATCCGGCCCGTTTGAAATGAATAAAACTAAAAAAAAAAAAGACCATACCCTTTTATGTAATGATGTTTACTTTGAATTTATATCAGTTCACA